GGGCCGGTCGTTTTCCACCTGTATATTCCGCGACTCGTGCGATAGTCTAGCGATATTCGGCAAGGTCGACGGACCAGCGTTCATTAGCGACGTTATTGACTCGGTCGTGGTGGTCAAATGCCATCAATTCCGAATGCACGAGTGCAATAACGTAGTTGTTTACTTGAGCTGTGCTACAAACCCGATTATAGAAGGATGTGTGGATATCAAGTTTAGTCCGCTTCCAGGGGCGTTCGTGAGTACTTCCGGCTCGGTGCGTTATGCTTTTCCTCTACATTCTACTTTCTGCTTCCTATTTATGTTGTGTTGCGTGTATATTTTGTTTGGTTATGTGTGCTAATGGCGATAGTCTACCCAGAATGGAAAGCAAGCGGATAAATGGTCTCTTGTGGAAGACTTCAATTGGCTGAAGCCTGAGCCTAGTCCAAACTGGAGCGTGTTGGAGGATGAGAAGGCGGTTGAGGACCATGTGTGGGGCCGTATACTGGGGGATAAGCGTGGAATGAAGCTGACAGAGATCCTGGAGTGCACGGGCGTGACTAGTCTTGCTGATTAGGCTGGATCTGGATCGTCATGCCTTGTAGATTATGCATTGAAAGGTGTTATAGTGGGGAGGCAAGGGACGATCAAGGCATAGACTTGGTATGGGTTTTTGTTGAAAGCTGTGAAAGCAAGGTCTATTATTATTATTAATGAATACATGCATAATGCAGTCAGGAATCGAGATATGAAAAGAAAAAGAAATAATCATTTCTGTGACGATGTCGACGGTCGTAAGTCAACAGTCTCGAAATCTAGACCTTTCGCTTCAAATACATGTCCTGGCCGCAGGGCGTCGGTATATATATTAGTCTCGTCATGGGGGTGGAACAAGCCAGGCCGAGTACAGTTCAACACTGACTTCAGGCCCGGGGGGTCCGTCAATCGAAAAACACCCCAGTTTGGCTCGTGGCTGGGTGCGCAAACGATGGCAATACTCTCTGACAGCATTACTTGATAGCCGGACTGGGTATGCAGGTCTCTCGAGCTCATGAAACAAGTTTGTGTCGGGTGAGTGTGGATCCAACCTAGAACCATGAGATCTTCTGCCTCGCAGTACTCGAATATAGCAGCCTCATTAAGCATTTCGCATGTATCTGGGGTAGATTCTTGCTCTGGGATAATAAGCCGCGAAATAAAAAATGCGTTTGATATGAGGGTGCCTGCTAGGATGCCGCATGTCTCTAG